GTATCACCTAGATGGCCCATTTTAAATTGTTTTGTCCCAAAATTAACCCTATACTTTTTCTAGGGAGTGGCCCGAAAATCCCAGTAGGGATTTGTTGTGGCCCTAATAAAGGATTTAATTCAATTGTCATTGAGGGTTGTAAAGAAACTGTCTGTGAGATCCGCTCAAGTAAAAATGGCAGCTCCCTATGGTTGGCTGTGATGACATTAAATTGCGCGACCTTCCTTCTAGTTCCCCTGTTTTTCCTGCCCAGTCATGGGCCGACAGGAAATTTTTAGACTCCCTACTAGGCAGAAATGAGGGGCAGAAGGTGGGCAGATCAGTGCCATCTTGGTCCACCATGTGGTCTTCAACCCTGTAATACCTATTACCACCAGCAGAGCGAGCCCTGAGGTTAAAATTGCGGGCATTACAATTTAGCACATAATGGCTGTTTCTCCCACAATGAAAGCATCTCCCGCAGGGTCTGTGTAATAATACTTGGGGCTGCAGAGTTTGTTTTAAAGCCGGGTGAGTCTGATTGTTTGTAAATAGGCTGGGTCAATATAAGAACACAAGCAAATAACTCTGAAACTGTGCCCTTTTTCTATGGGGTCTGAGAACATCCTTACAATATTTATTTGCATTTTCAAATGCCAACTGCTTAACAATAAACTCACAAGCACCTAGATCTCCAATGGAGCAGTTTTTGATTTGGTAGAGTTTCACTACAAAATCATAATAAAGTTCATTGGAACCTTGCTCAATTTTAGTCAAAACTAAGCAAGATTGGTCCCTGGAGGCAATCTGTATCTAGGCTTGCTTTGCACAGGCTGTAATCTGATCATACACTGCAAATTCATAATTCTATTGGGCTTGATCAAAACAAAAGTCTGTCCAGTATGACCCCCAAAGTGAAAAATCCCCCTCACTCAAGCAAGCCCTGGTGATAGAAATCCAGTCACTTGGTGGGAGCAGTTGAGAGCAAATAGTTTCAAGCAAGCTCTGTACGAATGGTGAATTTGGACCATAGACCTTGCAGGTATTTTTTACTTCTTTAATAGTTTTTAAAGGAATTACCACATAGATGTGAACATGCTGGTCTTGATTATTAACCTGTTCAAAAACTGGGAAGATCTGAAAATCACTAGTATCCTCCCCAGCTTCTTGTGCCTTTCTAATTGCCCACTGTAATGGAGTAAGAACAGTCATTTCTAACTCAGAGTATCTTTTAAAATTTGTTCTTTTAACACACAATGGTCGAATTTGAATGGCCAGAGCAGGTGCTGTTAAGCATAGCCTGTTGAAATTCCCTGATAAATCCTGGATTTTATTGTCCAATTCCTCTTCCTCATACTGCAATTCCTCCATAGATTCTGCGATGTTGCCATGTTGAATGTAAGCTTGTAAGTGACATGGAAGAGAAGGTCTTTCTATTTCTCTATGAATCTATTCTGGATTCTCCTCTCCAGGAGAAGGATCTTCTATCCCCCCTGAGGCTTCCTCTCTATGATATCCCTCTCTATGATGTTCCTCCAGACTACTCTGGTTTGGCTCAGGCAAGCCTAAGTTTTTACTTTTGGTTTTGCCCCAAGGTTTTTTGTTTGAATATAATTAATCTTAGTTTTTAGCCGGCTTAGAGGAAAGGAGATTTCCTTAACCTCAGGCAATTTTTTTTTTCATTTGAATAGACTTTATGGTGCTCTGAATACCTTCCAATAGATCTTCAGGGGGCCATGGACTATGGCCCATGTAATAAAAAAGATATCTAATGCAGGTCAATCCTTTTGAATATTCTCAAAGTTTCCAGGTAATTCATTAGAAAGGCAAATTTTATGTAATTTCCTTCCTAATTTGTCCCATGTATGTAAATTTGGTGAATCTTAGTCACAAAACCAAGGGCAAAATTTACCTACAACCTTTAAGAATTGTAGCAACTGAGTCTTTTTAACTTGCTTTCCCTTCTGATTAATTATTGTCTCTAAAATAGTTAAATACATATCTTTATCAGTAGAAGTTGATCCCTATTATTAATTGTTTTTAAAGTCTCTGCACTCTAAAAACTGCCTGGTACTTCCATGACCCTAAAAATGTCACAAATTCTGTATTTATATTGTGCACTTCCTAAGTCAACATAGTCAGTTTAACTCATGCCCCACATTGGATGCCATTTCTGCCACTCGACCAGTGCTGGCTTCAGTAAGAAGGTTTGATTCATGAGTAAACGCTAGGGAGATCTAAATTAAAGAGACAAGACTCTAATTACCCTTAATACCATTTCCAGAATGGCTTCTCCTAGGTCCTGCCTCCAGCCACCTAATGCGGAAGCGAGGTTTAGCGAAGACAGTAGCGAGTGAGAGAGAACATGCCAGGGAGTGGACATTTATTGGGGAACAAAAAATTCCAGGGAAAATCCCACCCAATGATGGTTAAAGGGAGCAGCATCACAAGGACAGGGGTGACGATTGGGTCTTTGGAGCAGTGGCCAGACAAGCCTCTGCAATGACAAGCCTTTGGACCAGAAAAAGGGTGGGAAAAGCTCTGACACAGCTGTGTCTAAGTGCCTCTCACCCAGCCAGGAATGTAACTCAAATCACCTGTTAGGATGGCCTCCCAAAGGGAAAAATAATTTGTGGGAAGGTGTTGGTGCCATGAGCCTTCTGATTGCACTTCTACACCTACACACACCTGTGAACACACACACACCCATGATTGAATGGATGTCACCTGCACATTCCCCTGTGTATGTCCTGGAGCTGCTGCCCACTCTCCTGAGCAGGACACTCACCAGGCCATGCAGGTGCAGCAGCCACAGCACCAGCTCCCATGGAGGGCAGCCTCCAGCTGCAGCAAGAGCAGCTGCAGAGCCCAGGGGATGCTGGACACCAGGCTGGGCTCAGCAGGGACAGTGCAGAGCCTTTGAGGAAGCCAGGTAGGCCTGAGACAAAGCATGGACAGTCAGTCCAAGGCATAGCCAGGAGGTCCACAGAGACTTTGTCACTCCTTGCTGAGGGCTCAGGCCCAAGAGGACTTCCAGGGAGTACCCATCTTGTCCTCCACAAAACAGGTACTGTGCTGCCCTCCTGATTGCCAGGATGATAGTAAAAATCCCTGCCAATCATCCTACACCCTAACATCACCTACTGCCTCCTGATCCCTCAGGGGACTTCCTCCTGCCTTTGTCCAGTGATGTCCCTCTCACTATCTATCAGAAACATAGAGAAGGACTCACTTCTGGTAAAGTGAGAACACACAGGGTCTCACTCATGTAAGTCTTCCTTTCTGTGTCCCAGGAGAGAGGTCACTCTCCCTTTCTGACTCAGCAAGAGTATTAGCAGCATCCAGCCTCGGATCATCAGGACCAGGTCTGACTGCTGAGCTCCTGCTGCCTCCTGCTGCCCTCTGCACACCCTGCCTACCTGGGCAGGGACACCTGGAGCCAACAGGAGCCACACTTCCTTCAAAGAACTAGAGCTTCTTCCTGTCACCATTAGGGGACAAGGCTCCACTCAGATGCTGCTTGTGCACAGGGATGCTGACAGTCTGAGGACCCTCAGGGGAGCAGATTGGGGACAGCTGTGAAGTCACACATTCCCTCCCCCTCCATCTCTTCTCCCTGGATCCTGGGCTCCTCAAGTGTCTCTCCCCTGCACTCCTGCCTGGGTCTTCTCTGTCCTGTCCCCTTCTACTCTGAGTTCACACCTGTCACTCCTCACTTCTCACATGGCTGTCCTCATGTGGGTCAATACGCTGTTCTCCTGCACATCCTGGCCCTTGGCCTACCTCTGACTCCACTCCTTGGATTCTCATGGGAGACTCAAAGATGGTGCCTGGTAGTCTTTAGAGATCAGAAAGGATAACAGCAGGGGTTCCGGGCTGTACATGTGGCCTCCATGGTCCACTGAGAGCAGAGTCCCTGCATCATATGAGCTGTGAACTGCCATAGGCACCCTTGTTTCTCCAGACAGAAGGGTGGCCATTAGCAGCTAAGACTGGGTATGTACGGTGTCCATGCAGTCACTGAGCCAGTTCTTCTGCCTGTGGGAGAAAACACAAGGGAGAAGCTGTCAATGCCTAGCTCTTGACACAGAACTTCTGTCCTTTGGGGTCATTAACAACTGCCCATCTGTATGACACCTGCTCCTATCTGTAATCATAGCCCCATGGGTCTCTCAGTGTCCTGAGCAATGGGAAGGTCATTGTTTCAGGAAGCAGGAGGGCACTGTGTAGGTCCTGAACTTCATGGTACTCTTGCTCAGTCCTGAGAGTGGAGAGGCAGCCATGGGTTTAGGTAAGAGATGCCAGCTTTACCTGCCCAGGCTCAGGGTGTCTGCACTTAGAGTCCCATGAGCAGGGTGGCACATGCCTATAGTCCTGAACACCTTGAGACTGAGGGAGGAGGACCACAGGTTCAAGGCCAACCCAGAAAAATTATACAATAACTGTATATACATAAAATGAAACAAATTTGGGTGTAGCTCATTGCTGTGCTAGCATGTAAGAGACTCTGTGTAGATCACCAGAAATGACAAAAGTAACAAAGGAAAAAGAAAAAAAAATATATCACACATTAAACCAAAAGTCATGGCATACCTATGTGCAAACATATATTCATACTAGAGATGCACAGTAAGCACAGGTATATCCACATAATTCATCTCCTAAACATTATGTATGTAGCATATAATAGTCCTTTCATTCATTTCTAAGCCAAGTGGACTCTGGCTGAGATGAAGCTCTAGTGGGTCTTTGCTGACCCTCACAGCTCAGTGGGCTGACTGTGTCCTGTGGCTCCAGGGAACCATTTTCCCCCAAGCAAATCTGAGCTGCCCTAGACTGTCCTGGGACATCTGGACACACTGAGCCTGTTTTGATTGGCCAGGAGGAGCCTGCCCTACAGCTGTGCCCAGCCTTTCCAGCCCTGTTGATTTGCATGTGCCCACAGCACAGTCTACTGCCCTGAGGGCTTCTAAGAGGCTGCTCACACCCTGTTCAGGAGTCAGTTCCAGTCAGGACACAGCATGGCCATGAGGGCCCCTGCTCAGCTCCTGGGGCTCCTGCTGCTCTGCCTCCCAGGTAAGGAGGGACAGTACTGGGGATTTACTAATCACAGTGTGGTCAACACTGCCTGGATACTCAGGAAAGTCCTCTTATAACTTATTGATCATAAGAATATTTCTTTGATTTTTCCAAAGGCAGGGGTCAGATGTGACATCACAATGACCCAGTCTCCATCGTCCTTGCCTGTGTCTCGTGGAGACAGAGTCACCATCACCTGCAGGGACAGTCAGAGCATTAGCAATAGATTACACTGGTATCAGCAAAAAACAGGTCAATCTCCTAAGCTCCTCATCAATGGTGCATCCAATCTACAACCTGGAGTCCCCTCGAGGTTCAGTGGCAGTGGATCTGGGACAGATTTCACTCTCACCATCATCAGCCTGGAGCCTGAAGATGTTGCTAATTATTTCTGTCAACAAGGCTACAGTTACCCTCCCACAGTGACACAGGCCATGACAAAAACCTCCCAGGGAGCAGAAGTGTGAGACTGGGCTGCCCCAGCTACTCCTCCTGCTGCCTCCACCCGCTGAAGGCACTGCTCAGAGGCAGCCAAACCCTGAGCCCTACAAGGAGCATCAGTCAGAGGGTCCTTTTAGATCAGCCCCAGAAGACAGTGGGCTTACTGCTATGATAAAGAAAGTAATTTAAGACCTGAAGACACTGAATTAGGCACTATCAGGGGTTGTGCAGCAAAGATAGGCCTCTCCATGTATTCCATACGGGAATATTTTAGACTCTATTTTTTAGTATAGTTTAAGTATCCAGGGAAATTGGGGTGAAGTACAGAGTTCTCCTGTGTCTCCTCTGCTCCCACAGTCCCTCCATCACCACCCCAGACTCTGTTGCTTCTGTTAAAATTCATCAACCTCTGCCATGTCTACTAGTCACACCAGGGTCACTGTGTGCATTCTGTGGAAATAGACATGTGGACAGTGACATGTGTCCAGCAGTGTGGCCTGGAACAGTGCACGTCCCACGCTCACACTTTCTGAGCTCCATCTGCTCCTCACCACCCCCCTCTCTGCTGCAGACCTTCATGAGTTTCCATCCTGTAGTTTCACCTGGGCTGAGTGACAGGGGCCTGGAATTTACAGCATGTGAGATATTCACACTGGCTCTCACCTGACTGCTATGCATATAAGCTTCCTCCAGGGGTTTTCCTGATGTGATAGGAAGGTGTTTTTTTTTTTTTTTTTTTTTCTTTCTTTTTAAATTGTTCTTTAAACTTGGTATTGAATCCAGGCATGTGCTACCACTTAGCTAAATTCACAGTCCTATTTTAAATTTTGAGATGGGATCCCTGTGAATTGTTTAGTCCTTGCTAAATTGGTGAACCCAGCCTTAAACTTGTCATCCTCCTACCTCAGCCTCCTAGTTGATGGGGTTACATGTGAGCATCATTGCACCCAGCTTGATCACTGTGTTCTCTTCAGTGATGAGTAATATTCTATTTACTGACTCTATAACAGTATTGATCCATTCCCCTACTGAAGGGCAGGCTTGTATCCTCCAAGTTTTCAATGCTAAACACAGTTTCAGTAAGTTTTCAGGTACATAATTTTATTTGTTTTTGATGTGTACATTCACCATCTTTAGTTTTATAGCAGAATGCCTAGTGTGATCAGAATCTGTCACAGTATCTTGCACTACCTGTCTCCATCTTGGAGACAACTTGTGGATACTCTCCAGAACACTCAGCTTCTGGGAGTGGCTTGGGACTGCAGCTAGGACCAGCTCAGTAGCAGGGAAGAGACCTGGGCTCCCCTCCTGCTGCCTGTGGGGTGCTCCCTCCTGGAGTTGGCCAGCCCTCGGGGAGGGGTGGCTGCTTTCTCATATGTTTTAATATGCATTTCCCTGGTGACCCAGGATGTCACATTCATGCTTGGTCAGATGTCAATAATGTGCAAGGGACAGATCAAGCTATCAACAGCTTGTCGCTTGTTCCTCCCCTTATTGTCCTTCCCCATCCTCTGTTCCTGGTCTCTGCTGCTATCATGTCTCTATTCTCTATAGAGCCTCTCGAATCCACTTCGGGGTCAGCTACACACTCTCTTCATGTTTCTACAACCGAGTTCTCTTGAGTTTACCTGGATTCCTGAGGAACAATTCCCAGGATCTAGAGTTCTGGGTTCACAGTCTTTTCCTTCATCATTTGAAATTGTGTCCTTTCCTTTGTCCTCCCTGTTTCCAGGGGAGAAATTCTCTGTTCATTCCAGTTGCTTCTCCCATAAAGCTAAGGAGTCTCATTTCCCTCCCAGCTTTTAAGGTCTCTGTCTCTGTCTTCAGAAGCTGGCAGTGTGGCTGTGGACTGGGCTGGCAGGCACCTCCTGCTCATTTGAGTCCCTGTTCCCTGGCCCACTAGGCTGTCTCCAGGGTTCTCTAGCTGGGTGTGACCATGAATGTCCCTCCTGCTGCCTCCTTCCTCTGTCTGCTCCATTCACCTGCTCAGCTCCCCACTGGGCTCTTACTATGGTGAATGGAGTTTTCAGTCCTGAAATTTTCCTTACTGTGTCCTTGCAGAGTTTCTGTTCCCTGGCTGATGCTTTCTATTTGTTCTTCATTTGTTTCAAACACATTTGCAATTTCTTGTTGATGCACTTTTATTGTGGCTGATTTAAAATACTGTTCAGATGATCCTTAGGGACTTTTTAACTCAGTGTGAATCTGAACTGACTGAACTTTCTCATTCATAGGAGGTTATTCAGGTTTTTATGAAGATGAGTGTTTTCTTTGCTACCTGGACATTTTGGGAATTGGGTCACATCACAGGGCTGGAAATTCTGAATGACTGACCAGACCCTAGTACAGGCCAGGGCTGTGATTTATGGCCTTCAGAAAGGCAGGACCACCCCCCCCAAAAAAAAAAAACACACAGATAATTGGTTTATTTTTCTTCTAGGCTTAGAAACCTCCTTGGAAGCACTTAGGAGCCACAGATGCCTGAATTCAAGGCAAATCCTTCTAAACTTCAGTCTGTGTTGGTCAGTTTTACTTTGTTGTGGCAAAAATTCAGCACAAATCTAACACAGTGCAGGAAAGTTTACTTGGGCTCTTGGGTTCAGAATTTCCATCCATGAACAGCTGACCCCATTGCTCTGGGCACAGGTGGGCAGAACATCAGGGCAGAAGGGTTTGGGGGAGGAGAGCTGCTTCACCCATGGTGGGCAGGATGTGCAAGGAGAGACAGGAAAGGGTCTCAGGGAGGATGCACCTTCCAGGGCTCTCCCCTAGTGACCACCTGCTCCAGCCACTCCCCTGCCCTCAGTCACCACTCTGTTAGTCCACTCAGGCCAGCAAGGACTGATCAGGCTCAGCTCTCAAAATCTTGTCATTTCATCTGTCAATATTCCTGCATTAACACAGGACCTTTATGGGGACAGTCTCCCATGTGCCCTGCATGGACACTGGGAATGTGGTTCCCCTCGCTGGGATGGGTTGGCTGAAAAATAAAACCAAAGAAAAATAGAATGAAGAAAAAACTACAGGGCACAGAAAATGATTTAAAAAACCGAGGGTGGGATGGGTAAGAAGATCATAGGGTTCCAGCAAGCTTCTGTAATCTGGTACAATGGAGCCTTTGCCTACTTTATTTATATTGTGGGACATCGAAGCCCTTCAATAGAATGTTTAAAAAAAAGGTTAAAAAGGTGCACTGTTCAGTTCCCAATGGGTTATGCCCATTTCTTTTGTGACCATGAGAGACTTTCCTAGCAGAGCAAAGGTAAAGTTCCTGTGACTTGGGCAATCTATTGTGTGGGGGAGCCATGGATATTTCCTAAGGATTCCTAAAATTTCCCTGGCTACCTGCCAAGAGAAGATCCTCTTGGGTTGTTCGCAGATGGCTCCCTGAGGGGCACCTCATATCCAAACCATAACACAGTCTAAATAAGAACAGAAACATTTACTTTAAATTACTGTCTTTTTTCCCCACTTTCAGTAAATTTTGTCTTAAAACAGTGACTTTTGGCTGCCAGGTCTGAAATCAAACACCACACATGGAACATGACCCTGAGTCAGCGTGTCAGGGAGCAGAAAACTATGAAGTCCTCCATGTGCCTTTTCCCTTCACCCTTCTCCATCCCATTCCTCCAAAGCAAAGCTGTAGCCTCTGTTGAGCTGGTGTTTGCAGGGTCAGAGCTTAAAATATTGTCCCTACTCTGCTTTCTTCTGACTGTTACTGATTTTGTGGTATGTTCATTGAAGGACAGCTCTCATGTTCTTTTGACAAGCATCCATCACTGTTCCTCAGGCCTGGTGTTCACCCAGACCTCCTCCTATCAACCACCAAATGAGGAGCATAAACCTACTTGTTATATTGAATTATACAACATGGCACAAAAAACAAAGAAATTAGATTTCTTGTTGAGTGCTGTCTGACAGGTGCTGAGTTAATAAAGCTTTAGGATACACTTGAAAGTATTCTGTAGTAGACTCAGGGAGACATTCAATGGCTGGGATCAAGTCCTGCTACCCTGTAGGGTCTAGAGTTGCAAGAGTAGAAAATCACATGCCCCTTAATTCCTAAGACATTACTTCTTGCCATCAAGGACGTCTTATTAAAGATGAAGTGCATCTTGAGAGTCTGCAGGAGGTTCTCTCCAAGTGGGTTGTGGCTGATGCTGTGTTTGGAGGACCAGTGGAAGCCACCATCATGGGCATATTGTTCCTGATCCTGCAGCAAACAGTAGGTCCTGCTGTGAAGATTCCTGCCTCAATCACACCTTCTCTGAGTGTCTGGATGCTGATACTCCTCAGAGTTCCATGGGAAGGAAAGGCAAACTTGACCCACAGCACAGGTGTGTTCAAGTAGGAGGACCACAGACCTCCAGTGATGGTGATGTGAAACTCCTTCCCACAGGTGGCTAAAGTGACATTTGTTTCTGCTGCTGAGAAATCAGATATGTGGACCCGAGCCGAGCTGGAGGCGGGAGGGGACTCAGCCAGCCATCTGCCCTGTACCACCCACATGGCAAGCAGAAGACCCGACCCAGAGGAGGGGCTTAGCTGCCCGCCTGGCCGACCTGGAGCAGGGGCTGTCTTGGGGTGCTGGGGTGCAGACCAGAGGAGGCACAGAATGCTGAAGCTTGACCGGCGGGTCACCGGACTGAGCTTTCGACATAAGCTAAGGTCTCCCCAATACTCCCCACCTCATCAAACAAGTTACAAGAAAAACAGATGGAACTCATCTTGGAAAATCCCACCACCTTAAGAGCCATCAACTGGTGAGCGTAGCTACTAGAGCGGTTCTGCAATGGATCAGGCAACTAATTTCCATCTCAGAGACTAAAAGTAAGAGGCTAGAGGTGGAAGCTCAAGTCCTCTCACACTGGCTACCTCCACCACCCTGAATGCAGAGACTCAAGCAAGGAATATGCAACACCACCTACTGGAAGAAAAAAAATTATAGAGTTCTGAGAGAATTTTTTTCCTTTTCTCTCTT